GCGGCGGCGGCGCGGCGGGCCGAGCGCGGGGGCGGCGCGGGCTGCGGGGGCCGGGGATGGGCCTCGCGCGGGCCTGGCGCAGCCGGTGGCAAAGTGGGCGTGGGCCTGCCACATGGCGGCGCGCGATTGGACAGGCGGCGGCGGACGGACACGTCCGGTCCGATCCGGACATGTCCGGCAGCGCGGAGGGGGAATTTCGCTAGGGTTTGCCCGGATTTGGAGGGGGAGATGCATATTTGTAGGTAGATTGCAGCGTGATCCGACGACGGAGAGCATGGGAGTGGCTTAGATGGGTTATTGGGCTGTTTTGGAGGGGTGTTGGGCTGCAACTTAAAAGAGGCCTTTGCGGATATGCGGATAATCGTTGGAGTACCAAACGAGCTCCAAATGACCCGAAACTTGACAGGTGGTCTACCGGTGCTATACCAGGGCCACTTGGCAAGGCTCGGTCCATTCCGAGAACATTCAATACCCGCACATGAAAAGGAGACAAGAGGGGTGCGCCGGTGCATGTGGGAGTGTCGGATTGCGAAACGAACAACGGGGAAAATGCTCGGATGCATGAGACGAACACGTATGCAAATGAGATGCACGTGATGACATGATATAACACGCATGACATGAATAAAATGAAAAACAAAAGACAAAACCAACCACAGAGGGAATATCATATCACATAGCCGAAAATGGCAAGAGTTGGAGTTACAAAGATGGAAAGTTACATCCGGGGTGTTACAATAGGCCATACTTTCTTGTTTGTTGATTCTCGTGAAGTGTCCTTCCTTCCTACAACTGATAGGGAAAATCATTGTTTTTACGATCCCTATGTAGAAAGCCCTTTTTTCTAGTATTTACTAGAAAATTTGATCCTCTTTTTTTTGTTTCTATAGTGGAGATAGTCGCACGTAATGACAGATCACTGCCATATTATTAAAAGCTTGCGGTAAGAAGGGGTTTCGTTCTAGTGCCCGGAAATAATATTCCAAAGCCTTTGTATGCTTTCCATTGCCTGTTTGTATAAGGCCTATGTTATAGAGTATATAACTTCGATCATAGGCATCGATTTCTAGTCGCGTAGCTTCATGATAATTTTGCAAAGGTTCCGCATAATTTCCTTCGGATTGAGCCAACATCCATTACGGTCATTCATTCTATTCAAAAAATCTCCGTTCCAAAACCGTACATGAGGTTTTCATCTCATACGGCTCCTCCCTTTTGTACATAATAGTACTAAATGAAATAATCTATAGAATCAAAATAGAATTAGTCCTGTCTCATTATGAACCGAAAGAGGCTGGTATTTTTCCAAGAAATCTCTAGCCAACCTTCCCACAAGAGGTTTTTTCTTCACGCCAATGAATTCTATTGATGCTAGAGGAAAACGATAGCTCCAATAATTTCTTTGTTCTCAACGCCTCCTATTTAGAGGAATTAGCTACTTCAATGATCTTTGATGTTTATAGGGGTATCCAAAGTACAAACCTGATGGTTGTTTGTTATCCCAACCGTTCTTCCCAGCCCTAATACTGATCAGGAAAGGGGTAATTTCTGACAAAGTCTTTCTCTTGTTTATTCCTATTTCTAGGTGTAGTGCTTTTCTCCCCTATGTTGCCTATGAATACTGATAGAGTAGGATTGGCCTGTAATCCATACCATACCATATCCTGTAGGTGTAACCTTTCTCTCAATACTCAAATCTACAATTGAAGTATCTGAAGCCGCATCAATCGAGGATACACGACAGAAGGAATTGTTAGCTCGCCTCACCTTCCCGAAGCGGGGGTTTGTTTCCCTTACAAATTTGGTTCTCTCTATGCCAACCCCTTCTCCTTTTCCTAAGACTGAGGTATAGGTAGGGCTAAAAATAAGCAAAAAAAGAGTCAAATAGCAATATCTCTATAATAAGTAAATGCCTTTTTTCCTCCTGAGGTTGTCAGAATTATTCGCAATAAAATATTGGCTACAATTGAGGATGTCTTATCAATGAAATTTCCATTTACACGAGATCTAGGCATAAATCCCAACCCATTCTATATAGAATTGTTTTCATTCCTTCACAAAATAATATAAAAACAAACACATTCAATTCTTATAATTATAAATAGATTGATCCATATGCTCTACTCTAAATCCATATGCTTTAAATGGATAAGGGAGATATGGATTTTCTTCTCGGCTCAAATTGGATCCTTTTCCTTCTGCTTGGAGATGAAGAGATAGGAAATATTTGACTAAGACTGGATTTCATTCCACTTTACTATTTCTAAACAACAACTTATGTTATCAACTATTTCGTGTTTTCAAAGTTATTAATTGTCTCATACCCTATTTTTGATTTCGATAATATGGTGTAGCGTATCTTATGCAAATGGAATTCTAATGTTTCTTTATTTTATTATGTAATAAGAAGAATTTTTCCATTTTCTTTTTCATTAGTTGTGGAAAACCCATTTAAAAATTTTATTTTATAGCGAGCGAAATTTCTAGTAAAAAAATCCTATATCCTTCCACTTAGATCAAGAGGAATTTTTCCAATAGAACTATGGAACCCCTGAGTGGTTGCGGTTGTACCTTTACAACAGGAATAAGAAAACACGCTATTCACTCAGTTTATTTTCCATAATAAGTTATGTAGGGGAGATGGCCGAGCAGTTCAATGCATAGCATTGGAACTTCTATGTAGACTTTTGTTTACTGAGGGTTTGAATCCCTCTCTTTCCATTTTTCTTAATTCATCAATGTTAAGGATCACAATGTATCAAATAAAATAACAATTTTTTCTAGCAGAAATTAGAATTCTCTATAGCAAATTACTGTGGTATGTAAAATACACACAGAGGAAAAAAATAAAAAAGGATCCTAATCCTAGGGTTTATCAATTTTAGCTAGTTGATGGGAAAATACGAATAAATGGTAATGGTCTTAGGGCGATTTAGTTTGGGGAAAGGGGAAGGGAAAAAATTCTATGAACCTTTCCTTTTTTCGTTAAGTTCAAGTACGACGAGAGTAATATTCTACAACTAACAACTCATTTATTTTGAGACCGACCCACTTCCTATCTAGGATTTTATTTACTAGTCCTTTATATTTCCAGTGTGTAAATCGTCAAATGCTTTGGCAATTTCCTCGGGTCCGATGAAGCAATATAATTTTGAAGCATACCTTTTGATCTTTGGTTATCTTTCGTAATAATAATATCTCGGGGTTTTCCACGAAAACTTGGTATATTGTCACACCCTGATTTTCATGCCACAACACTTAAGCTAATAAATCATGATAAACTGTAGTTTGACAAAGAAATTTTGAATGTTTTGTACTTTGCTTTGATTGTATTTTGTCTGTTGTTTCCAAGTGCTCTAAAAATCAAAAAAATCCTCCAACTCTTATAGTCGCTCTCCTTGATCCAAAACTTTGCCCAATGATCATACCATGTGTATAGGACAACATAGTATTTTCTTTCAGAAATTATATTTGACTCCTATTAGAAATAGGAATCCCAGAAACCACAAAAATATTATCTTAACAGTTGTTTTACTATTTTATTTGAAGGCTTTTTCTTAAGGCCAGAAATGGTCTTTAATAGGTTAAAGTTAGTTTAATGTTTCAAAAATATTTGAGAAAATTTAGGGAGACTCAGTGGACATATATTGTCCATATATATGAGTTTCAACACATGGTCATGACCAAAATATTGATCAAATCCCTCAAAAATCCTTTCTGGATATTTCAAACTTTTGAAATATTTACAAAGGAAATATTCTTCATTAATTCCAAGAAAATTCTAGAATGTCACATATGACATATTTGATGATCTTGCCAAGCCTCATGTATTGGAGAACAAGATAACATCACCAAAACCCCTCAAAACTATCTCTGACCATTTTGAAGTTTGAGCAACTTTACATTGCCAAACATGTCCAAATGCCCTCAAACTTGGTGCACATGCTAAAATGGTCTAATTATGCACCTAGACCAAATGGCACAAGTTGGAGAGAAGGGTAACTTGATCAAAGTGCCCCAAAACCCTCTCTAACCAGATCCAAATGTTTACAACTTTGCATTGCCAACTTTCTCCATTTGATCCCAAACTTTATGGAAATTCGCCAATACCCAAATGATTAGACTAAACAAAGTGGTGCATCAAGGATAAAAGATTTGCATGGAAAAATCTTGGAAAATCTATTTCCGTTGCTTTCTAGGTTTTGCCAAAGTTACATAGGAAACTTTTTTCAAATGAGCTCAAACTTGGTGACCAATCTCATTTCCATATTACATTTGATCCTGTTAATTCTCATGTCAAGTTGAATTCATTTGCTTGCCCAAAATTCTATCAAACACCTTCTGCCATTTTACCAAAACCATTGTTTTGACCCCTTTCACTATTCGTCATCAGCTCAAATTTTTTACCACAACTTATGCTAACCCTCTTCTACCTCTAGTAAGTCTTGCCAGCTCTCAGATCAATCATGGAGTGGGGTAGAACCCCACTTTCTCTCTCTAGAAAACACTATTTTCTCTCTCTACCCCTCTCTCACTCCAGTGGTCCTCTAGAGCATCCAATGCCATATACACTTTGTTTACTCACCTCCAAACCCCCTAGAAACTAGTGGACACGCCCATGGCTCATAAACAATGGCATGGCATGTAGAGCTTGCACTCTAGAACACGCTACAATGCACCACTGCACTATAGCTTTCCCATTCCAAGGTACCCGACGGTGGGCTTTGGAATCATGTCCCCCGAGGCCGCCTCGACATCCACTGCACACCAAAATATTAGGCCCCTCCTCCCCCACCGTCGTTTACCCTATGTCGAGCTGACCCGAGCGCCGCCCGAGGTCGCCAGTCGCTGCACTCATGCGGGACCGCCTCGAGCTCGCCCTGATCTCTCTCTCCCTCTCTCTCTCTGCCTCCCTTCCCTGAGCCCTACACTACCCCCAGCAACAATGTTGAGTGCCCTCCTAGGCCCCCTCCCTTGACCGCCACGACAATTTCCACGGGCACCCGTGAGCTGTGCTCACGATGCGCCATGGCCTCCCCAGACAAGACCACCCCGGCCTCTCCAGCATCACCTACTACCCCACACGCTTCCCCTAGACCACCTGACCAACTCACTTTCTCTCCTACACCTCCATGCGTCCCTCCTGGCTAGAGCTTCCCCGCCGACCGCCGCTCGAATTCCAGCGTCTCGGCCCCTCTCTCTTCCCCCTAGACACTCTGGCACCCTCTCACCACCAACACCGACCCATCCCAGGCTCCATTTCCTCCCATCTCTTGCTGTGTCGCCGTGCCCAACCTCACCGTCACCGTCCTCCGCCATGGCCGACGCTCCGCCTAACTCTGGCGCTCCCAGCATCCAGCGCGACCACCTCTGGGTGCGGCATGAAGCGGGGCATCCGCCCAGACCACCGGCTTGGCCCCGGGCGCAGGGAAGCGTCCAGAATCATCACCGGCGCACGCGCCGCCTGTCCCCTGCCTCTGCCTATCAGGAGGAAGAAGGAGGAGGCAGGAGGATAGAGAGAGGTGGCATGGGCCCTGCATGTCAGCAAGACAGCGCCCGGGCCCGCCGAGTTTAAGTGGAAACGCCCCGATAGGTTAACGCCTCTCTGCAGTGAAGGCGCACTCCCAGGAGCCGCCTTCGACGTCATCACCTTCCAGCCACGCGCAAGCAGCTGGGCTAGGCCCAGTAGCACCAGCGGCTATCCTAGGCCTAGTGCGTAATATTTGGTAATACCCATTTCTTTTCCTTTTCCTTTTCTGTAAAACTTGTAAAATTTCTCAAATATTCAAATGAACTCCAAATTTGATGATTCAAATTTCTAAGGGTTCATAAATTCATGCTCCATGACATCGTGCTATTTGCACATTTTTCCAGAAACTTTCTCTTCACAAATAATTATGAAATTCCATTTTTTCCATTTCTGTGATAAACTTTAGAAAATCACAAAGAGCCCATTTTTTATCCAAATGCCATGATTCTAATTCGTTGATACTAATAAGGTCAAAACTTATTTTTTGAACATTTTTACCAATACTTTCTATGCCACGCGAAATATTGGTCCATTTCTCCATATACTACCAACTTTGCAAATTCATAGAAAAATCATTTGAACTCCAAATATAGTTAAACCAACTCCTAGACGCTTCTAAAATCATTCCTTGTTAAATGGGTGCCTTTGCTCATTTTTTAAAATAATTCTTCTGTACACTTCTTGCAAGTCCACTACTCTCTTTATTCCATCATATTGAAATGTTCAAAGGAATCCATTGATTCACTCCCAATGAAACCACTTTGTTCATTCCTCATATGACCAGAGGTATCCTAGAAAAGTCCAATTCCTATTTTTAGAGCACTTTTATTTTTGCCTTGTTGTATTGCTTATTGTGATTGTTTCCAATGTTAGTTGACGAAGTAGACGGAGTATTTGGAGAAGGACCAGAAGATTTCAAGACTCTGATGAACTAGGCAAGCAACCCTTTGACCATGATGAACCCCTTTATATCATAAAAGCATTTTTCGTTGTTTCATCGAAAGCATGATATCTTGAATGGCAACCCTGCTAGGCTTGCCTCTGTTGCATACCCGTTGATACTTGCATTGTTCATGACTCTATCCTTGTTTAGAGTTGTGTTGGTGGGCTGTAGAAATATGCTATAGTAGTTGGCTACACAAAATGGGTCAGGGTTATGCATGGAAAGAAACAAGTGTGGTTTGACATACTTGCAAATAGCCCCAGTGGGTGACACTAATGCCCCTCGGTGATGATGATGAACTAGGTCACTACTTGGTGCAGAGGTAGTGTACCGAGGCTTGATGAAAGTGTTGTTTAAAGAGATGGATTAGATTTAAGATTCGTCGACCATCCCAACCAAACATGCGCAACCACTCTGCCCTTATATGGGAAAGGGCATTATTGATTACCTAGTTCATGCTAGCATGGATGCCCGCATTACTAGTGATGGGAGTGGCATGGTCACCCTCGGGACGGGGTCATGCTAGGTATGGTCGCCAGGAC